AGGTCTGCCATACATCCTTTCAAGGGGGCTCTGGAACAAGGGGCCACAGAGAGTGGCTCGGAGTGCATTAAAGCCAGTGGGAGCAGCTCCACCAGAATTTGCGGCTCAGTGGAGAGTTTGGCTAGGTGGTCTCTGGTCAGACCATTTACCCGTTCTCCTTACCAGAGGGTTGTGGTCGGGAGGAATGTGTAGTTCCCAGGTGATGCCCAGGGAGGAGACCTGTGGAGTAATCTTTGAGATAAAGGCAGGTCCCTGTCCGACTGGTGATGGTGTCCACCATAGTAAGAAGAGGGTGTTACCTGCGTTAGGGAGTGGAACACCCGTGAGGCCTAGCAGGATGGAGAGTCGGATTGGGAGAGGGAGATGAGAGGGTCTTTGACAAAGAGAGTAGAAATCTAACAGACAAGAGGGTGATGGAGGGGAGAGAGCCTGGTGAATCAGTAGGTCCTGGAGCCGATGTGGAGAACTAACATTTACAGGTTGGCCCAGTGTGGGTTTTAAGGCTTGTCTAGCGAGACGAGAAGCTGCCGCAAGTGCATGCAGGCAGGGCTGCCATCCTCTTACAGTGGGATCCATTTGTTTAGAGAAATAAGCAACTGGTCACTGGACTGGCCCAGGTTGGCCTAGAACCCCTAGAGCAATGCCCTGTTGCTCATCTGTCAATAACAGGAATGGCTTTCCCGGGTCTGGGAGAGTGAAGGCTCATCTCAGAGAGCTTTTTCTGGATAAAGCAGAGCAAACAGGGTGTAGAAACAAAGAAAAGCATAATCATGATCACTGGTCCTACTATGGGAAGGATCCATGGCAGTAAGGGAGAGCTGGTCCATGTTTGGATGTCCTGGTCCAGCTTCGGCTGACGAAGGGTCAGTCAGAGGGGGCTTTGCTGGTCAGATGAGCAAGCCCATGAATGTGTTGGAGGAGGGGGAGACACCTGAGTACACACGATTTCTCACCAAAACCTCCCTCTCAGACCTTCAACACTTTATTTTGCTTGCTTTCTTTCTAATGCCATTTCATTTTACCCATCCGGCTTTACATAATCTTAAGGCCCTCAGAATATCCCTCTTCCATATTTTCTTTTTTCAAACACACATACCTCACCTCACTTGCATTTACCAGACTTAGCAGAACCTTAGTTTTAGAAGGGAATTGAACACCATCTAAACAATAATGAAAAAAGGTAGATAGCCACTGTAGCTTTTCATTCCTGTACCAGTGATTTAATTGGCAGAGAATGTTGTCCAAAGCCTGCATCTATGAGGTGATATTTTCCAATTTGGCTAAGGTCACCTGGGGGGTTTGAATCCAGGGAGGAGGAGGGGTGGGTGGCCATCTGGAGAGGATTTTTAAAAGGAGAAATTCCAGCTGGGCTGACACTGTGTAAGAATCCCAAGCTGCAAAATCCCTCCTGCGCGTACTCCATGACGAGTTGCAGCTTCGATCCAGGGGACACTGGACACCTAGTTGTGCTCGCTGCGGGACTGAGATTGATCATAGCCTAGGCTTATGGAGCAGGAAGATGTGCGGATTTTCCAGCTGATTAGGTTGTGGAGGAGTAGGGCTGGTCTGTGAATAACCTCTGCCCACCTTGGAGAGTCCCATTTGGATTCTAATATGCTGGTCCCCGAGTCTTTCTTAAGGGGAGCTAGAGAGCCTCTCTATCTGCTCCTTGCAATGTGCACGTATTACTACCTGGACCTAAGCTTTTGCAAGAGCTCCTGCATCCTCTGCACCATCCATGTGCCCAGGAGTGAGCAGCAGGTCTCTCCCACCAAGGGGGCAGAACCTAAGATGGGGGAGAGTGGTCCAGGGTTCCCCGCCTCTGGCCCTGGGGCCTCTGGAGGCTCTGCCCACACAGCCCCACATCCCTCTCCTGGTCCTGTACCTGCTCAGCTCTCCCCAACCCCTCCACACCCCACCCCTCACCCGCTCTGCTCCCCTCCAGGTGCTTCACCAGTTTCGTTGCCTGCCTGGCCCTTCACCTGCTCTGCTCCAGGGACATCTGTGCTGCCCAGACTTCTGTGCTGCAGTCCTGTGAGTCTCATGCTACTCCTGGCCCATCTGACTGGGCCCAGCCCGAGCCTCTCGAGAGCCTCAACCTTCCCTGGTGTACTCCTGCTTCCCATGGCCATTGAGTGGTTGTGCTTTGGGGTGGAGGTCTTCTGCCGGGTATGGCGCTATTTTCAATCTTTGTTGCTCTCCAGTTCCAATGCTGCACAGCAGCAACAAAATTCCAGGATAATTTCTAATACCCTATCTCTGGCCCTGATGATTGCTGAAGGGGCCACTGCACTGAAAGGCCAGCCACGTCTTGGGGGAGGTCTTAGGGTGGTGCTGGAGGCTGGGGAGCTGGACTGATCGTGCTGGCCCTGCTTTCCTGGTCCCTCTCCAGCTGGGGGCCTGTCTCAGTGGTGCTGCCGTGCTCCCCAGCGTCCTCCAGCTGGAGGACTGACACCGAGGTGCTGCTGTGCTCCCTGGTGTCCTCCTGCTGGGGTCCGACCACAGAGGTGCTGGTGTCCCCCAGGCGTCCTCCAGCTCTGGGCCTAGCGCGGAGGGTCTGCCCTTTGGGGTGTCCTCTAGCAGGCGCTAGGACCTGCAGCAGTGGTGTGCTCCTGGGCGTCCTCCAGCTCAGGTGCCTGGCGGAGATGACCCTGTTGCCGGGGTGGCATCCTTTCCCCTCTTTCGGACTTCCTGCTTTCGCAGGATACCTGGCCTTCGGGTATTCCCCAAAACCTCAGGCTGCAGGAGGTGGGGTGGGGCATCCTTCCGCTCTTTTCAACTGGGTACTTTCGCAGGATAACTGGCTTGGGGTATCCCCGAAACCTCAGGTTGTGGGGGGTGGGGGGGCAGTCCTTGGAATCGGGGTCACCAGGCTCCCGGAAGGTGATGTGCCTCGGCCGCTCCTCCCCTCTTCTTTGTGGTACTCCTCCCCCTCCTGCTTCCTGGAGTGGAGAATCAGGTAGGTGGCCATGACCTAGTCGTACTTGTTAGCATCAATTGCCTCCCGAATTTCCTGCCTCTGGTAGCCCAGGCGCTCCATAGCTTTGATTATGGCTGAGTCCTGGGGTCTGAGCAATGGCTCGCTGAAGGGCAGGAGTCCCTCACTCTTTCTGCTACCCAGGCATGCTGTTGGATGCTCTCCAGGGCCGCGCCTCCAGGGGTCCCGTGCCAGCATTTTGGCCAGCAGGTCCCCGCCCTGGACTGTGAGGTAGGAGGTCAGGTGGACGTTCCCGCCCAGGACGCGCTCCCTGATCGCCCTGAGGCTTGGCACCCTGAAGGGCAGTATGCCGGTCACAATATGCCCAGGCTCCACACGTCCACCTTGGGGCCGTTGTACCATTGGCCAAGGTAGACCTCGGGGCCCTGTGTTCTGGGTGACAGCAGCACGTGCTCAGTGCCTGGGGGAAGCCTTGGACGCTGAGCCAGAAGTCTGCCAGCTTGACTTTTCCTTCTCAGATCAGCACAACGTTCTCGGGGCCTCACATCCCGGTGTGCAATGCCCTTGGCATGGTAGTATCTGAGGGCCACGAGGATCTGCTGAAAGAGCTGGCAGGCCATGCTCTCCTCCAGGTGCCCACGCTCGCTCAGACCTGCAGGTCTTCCCCTCTGCACGTACTCCATGACGAGGTGTAGCTTCGGCCCAGTGTCCACCACCTGGAAGCTCCACGATGTTCGGTGGTAAGGGCTTCATGCACCCCATCTCGCGGGCCAGGAGGCGGAGGTCAGGCAGCTCGGACTTGCGACTTCCTGATGAGCACCTTCATGCCCATGAGCGCGTGCAGCGCCAGCATAACCTTGGTGTGGGTGCCCCGCCCCAGCGCCCCAACGCCTGGTAGCTTTTTACTTTATGTCCCGGGGACTGAGGCGATTGCACATAGCGCCTGTGCACTGGACTACGCCGACTACACTCACCAGCCCTGACTGTGCTCACAGCCCTTGCGCTACCTCCGCTGACAACTGACTCTC